AATGGCAAGTCGTTGTGTTTATCGTGAAGTTCTTTTGGATAAGTTATGTCGACTTCATAGATCCGTCATATAGGGGAAGTTGCGTTCAAATCAGCCAATCCGTTAAGAGACGGATTAACCCACTTGAAGCCCCCGTAGGGCATGTACTGCGACATTGCCCAACCGTAAAGATTATTGCCTAGGGTTTTAAAAGTATATAATTAGCTTTATAATGATAATAATAATAATATATAGATTAACTTACAATCCTGATAAACAAGCCAGGATTTTGGGTCTGCTGGGTTATAATCAGGTGTTCTCTCATTGTTAGGTTTTGCGTACCGCATGCTGGCCTGTGTAAGTCCTCCACGAATACCTATAAAAGTTTAATCGTATTATATATGTGATGAAATAAAAATAATTTCCAATATACTAACCATTTTCAATCATTAATAGCATTTCATAATCCGACAGTAATTCCAGTTTTATCGCAGTGTATTTCAACATTGCATCGAAAGAAAACGCTGGTGCTGTAAAATAATATGCTGGATCCAAATTGTATGTGTTCAAACATAAATCCCGGAAATTTTCGAATACATCCGCCAGAAGCAAGACGTCAATTTTCAAGTATAGATCTGAATACTCGCCCAACGTTCGACAATTGAAATGACTCCATACGTCTTCCGCAAACTGATATTCAGTATCTTTTATGTGTTCTTCTGTTAAGGTACTATAAAAGTCCTCTTTTTTGGGTAAAGTTGTTTGTTCAAGCTTAGCCCAATCATCAGTGAAGTCATAAGGATATACACCCTTACGGGTGACAAGCGGTAGATCATTATTGGAAAAATGTTTTGCGGTTATGCGGAATTTTTCCAAGTTTGGTGTTATCAGATTGGAGGCGAGAGTTGATAAGCTTGTAGCCATAAATCTAAATGTATCCACGAATCTGATCGTAAAATCGTTACTTATGTATTTCGAAAAAGTAACGAATTTCTCTTCGCTGTTTGGTATTACTTTTATTCTATGCGAATCGTAACCTAGTTCTGTTACTATAAAATGTGCATCGTAATTAGAAAGATTATGAAGGAAAACTGGTACGTATTTCGGTTGTTTAAGACTTAAATTACACCTATTGCATAAAGTCTGCCTAAACTTCAAGGTCAGGTGGTCATGATCTCGAATACGGGTGTAGTTATTAACATCGCATTTGCATAAATTGCATTTAAAACAAGATGCGTGTCTAGTCGTATCTTCATCAGTCATAATCAAGGGTACGTTCGTCGCTAACAATTTTTCAATTTTTTCACACACATCAACAACACTCTCCATGAAATGTTTTGCGACGTCTTGCTTGTCCTCACTACCACGGTAAATTACGGGTTCGGTTGGTATATTGAATTGTTTTAGCAGCTCTGATGGTACGTTTTCAGCCGCCTTAACTATAAATCCGTAACTCATCGGACGGTGTTTTTGTATTATTGTTGTATTACCCCCCTTTTCCTCATTGGTCTTTACAAGTAGAGCCTCGAAATCGGCATATATAACAATAGGTTGTCTTTGTGCGTTTTGCCATGCTTTAAATTCAAGAACTGCCCCCTCTTCAGGCATTTTTGGTAGTATGGGTTTATGCGGACCGCATATTAATCTGTGGTGTTCTAGAGCTGCCTGTCCGCTTAGTTTATGTTTTAAGTTCTGTCTGTCGAACGATGTAAAGCAACGTTTACAGAATATAACTTGACCTGCATGACTAGTTTTTTGTGAACGGAGTAATCTCGAAAAATTTGAGATGTAAGTATAATGTGTATTATCACCATCCGTCACTAATAATAAGTCAAAGTGATCCCGTTTTTCATCATCTACGACTTTGAGTGGGAAAACCTCATATGAAGGATACTTTTTCGGTGGCTGTAATCGCTTTTCAAGTCCGTAAACATTTACAGAAACGTTCTGATTATTTTTTTCGAACTTGGTAATATCTGACAGCGGTGTCGGGAATGAAATTCCGTTAAAAATATATTTGTCCTCATGCTCCATATAATTTTCATTGACACGACATTTATTCTGTCCAGTAACGTGCTTTGCCAATACAGCCCATTTAAAGCACTGTTGGTCTATATTTTGAGGATTTATTATTGCCCTTTTATCTATGATGGATTTCGGTAATTCTATATACGACGAACCAGATATCGGTGCATACTTATAAATGGCTAGTAGCAAACCATCGATAGACTGTAACGTAAACCCGCTACCACGAGAAACATAGGCCTCTTCCTCAGCTAATAAATTTATGAAAGCTTCTTCGACTATTGTGTCGATTTGTGTGCCTATAAAAATTTCTTTGGCCGATGTTGTAAACGCTCGATTTTCGGATGAATTGGGTACATTTGGACGGTTATACTTAGCCTCGAGCTTCAAGCTAAATTTTATTGGATGTCTCTGCACGTGAGTTTTTAGCTTGTCTGACAGAGCCGGTTCGAGAGAACGGAGAAAGTCGGGATAATTTCGAATATTATTCAGATTTTTCGAGAAATACCACACTATTTTACGTTTTCCTGACGATGAAATCTCAACCAGACCCGGGGATGTAACCAGTTCCATACGAGCCTTTTTCGCCTTAACAGCCGACACTGTGTTGGCGCTGGAAACGCGTTTGCCACCCACCGAAGTCATATAAGAATCTACTTAAAATAAAATAAAATAAAATCTAGCGACGATAATGTAATGTAAATCTAATTAATTCTGATAAATAAAACTAACCTGTATCATCATCTTCTATTATGACGCATGAGTCACCGGTCTCGCTATCGGGGGCAACAATACGAGGCGCGAACTGGATGACACTCGGTCGTGCTGGCTGATCTATGATCGGAGCAGCTGGCAATGGTCTGAGGCGAGCTGAAACGATACCTTAGGGAAAATAAAAATTAATATTGTATAAAATAAAACTTTATATTTTTAGTACATACCATGAATGTTCTTCAGATGCTTGTTGAGGTTGTTTTTGTACGAGAATGTCGATGGGCATGCAGTGCACGGAAAACGTACACCTGCATGCTTCTTTTGGTGGGCGACCAAATTACGTTTTGCGGAGAAAACTGACGGGCACTGATCACACTTATACATTTTTACGTAAAGTAATATCGAAATAAAACCACAAAGTGTAAATAATTTTTAAAACGCAGAGAAATAAACACTTGTAAAAATATTTTAAAGACTGAGAGAGTAAATATATAAGTGAACAACGGTTAAAGGTAGTACACGGACTAAACGGAAAATCAAGAGTCTCTTCTTACCATGGACACTAAGGGATTTTTAGAGGTGGTGGTAATGGTGGGGATCGTGTAGAAAAAAAGCAATATGGCGGGGGTGAACAGAGATTTTGACCATATATGGTGACTATAATCCTTTGAAATAGCCGCATCCACCATATAAATCGGTCACATTCAATAAATTACCAATGACAAAAAGAATAGCGGCACACACATATAACGGTAAAAGCAAAGAGAGTTACTTTCTTATATAAAAGGAAAGGTATAAGCCGCCAAAGGACGGTGTATACCGCCAAAGGATGACCCATATAACGATAATCCTTTAAAAAAAAACCCGAATATATAGAAATCGGTCAAATTCAATGACAAAAAGGGCATATGCCGCCAAAGGACTAAAAATTCTTAGAAATTACCAACAAAGGTATATACTTATAACGGTAAAAGCAAAGAGAGTTACTTTCTTATATAAAAGGAAAGGTATATGCCGCCAAAGGACGGTGTATACCGCCAAAGGATGACCCATATAACGATAATCCTTTAAAAAAAAACCCGCCTATATAGAAATCGGTCAAATCCAATGACAAAAAGGGCATATGCCGCCAAAGGACTAAAAATTCTTAGAAATTACCAACAAAGGTATATACTTATAACGGTAAAAGCAAAGAGAGTTACTTTCTTATATAAAAGGAAAGGTATATGCCGCCAAAGGACGGTGTATACCGCCAAAGGATGACCCATATAACGATAATCCTTTAAAAAAACCCGCCTATATAGAAATCGGTCAAATCCAATGACAAAAAGGGTATATGCCGCCAAAGGACGGTGTATACCGCCAAAGGATGACCCATATAACGATAATCCTTTAAAAAAAACCGCCTATATAGAAATCGGTCAAATCCAATGACAAAAAGGGTATATGCCGCCAAAGGACTAAAAATTCTTAGAAATTACCAACAAAGGTATATACTTATAACGGTAAATTATGGTGGTTGATGTTAACTATGTGCCGAAAGATATTATTATGATTACACTATGTTATAAATTTGTATACTATACATAATATTTTATATTTATCTAGTTAAATGAGTGAAAATAACGCTAAGACTATAAGTGGTCATGTGGCCTAGTGGGTTAAAGCGTCATCGATATAAGATGGGGGTCGGGGGTTCGAAACCCGATCAATTATTTTGTAGTTTTTTTTCCCGTTATATAATTGTACACGTCTAGCGCGGATATAATATATATGATAAGTGATAACTGATAACGGTAATAATGATAAGTGATAACGGTAATAATGATAAGTGATAACGGTAATAATGATAAGTGATAACGGTAAAAATGATAAGTGATAACGGTAATAATGATAAGTGATAATATACATCTCGCGCACATGCGCGACCGGGCGGCGGGAACAGCGAATCAGCAAGGAACAGCTGATCGTCAGGGATCAGCGGTTCAGCAGGTATCAGCGGATCAGCAGGTATCAGCGGATCAGCTCCATTGTGTGTTTGAATTGTCTATTTTATACTACTAACAATAAATACAATTTCAAATGAATTTATTTTATTTATAAAAATTATACATTTTTTTTTTTAAATTATGTGAACTATTGTAGGAATTAGTTGGACTGGACTATATTACTATAGTGTATTAAATTCTCAGCCGATAAATGTATGAATGATACATAGGTACCTATTTTGAATATTAATTTGAATACATATTATTATCTTTAGTTTTTTTTTTGATAGAAAAATGTCTGAAGAAAGAAAATTTGAATCGGGGGCAAAAAAAAGAGCAAAAAAGAAAAGTCAACTTCTTGTAGCAGTTCGTGAATGTAAAACTCAAACCAAATTTTTTTTTACACCTAACAGTGATACGTTAAAAAATATACCTGTAATGAAGTCTGTGATTAATGAAATTGATGAAATAAATACAATTAACAATACAATACCTGGATCAAACCCAATTAATAATGAAATAGATACAATTAACAATAAAATACCTGAATCAAACACAATTAATAATGAAATGAATACAATTAACAATACAATAACTGAATTGAACACAAAAAATAATGAAAAAACAGAATTAAATATGAAAACTAAGCTTGATATTCTAGATTACCTAATTACCGTAACGACATCAGACAAACCAAAAATTACAAATGAGTTGTTACAATCTCTAGTAAAATATGGGGCATGTCAACCGTTTGAAAAAGACATGACAAATAATACTTTTCCGATAGATCCTAAGACAAAACGTCATTTTTCATCATCTTATTATTTTATAAAAAATTCTATGAACGAGATAACCAAGTAGCATTGGATGTCTTACTCAATCATGCAAAATGTTGTATATTGTCATCCTTGCTGGCTTTTTGGGGATAATGCTGCTAAGCAATCAATTTGGGTTTCTGGTTATTCGGATTGGAAACATTTAACCCAGTCAGCCATAATTCATTGTAACAGCAAACAACATTTTAGATCTGATGTAGCTTTAGTTCACTATTCTGAAAGTAAATCTATTGAAGCAATGATTTCAAAGCAGTATTCATTAAAAGTGAAAAAATGGCGTGAAATCCTCAAATTATTATTTGATGTAGTACTGACACTTTCCGTATTAGGCTTAGCTTTTCGAGGACATAGAGAGAATATCAACGATACACGTTGTGGAGTTTACTTATCGATTTTAAAACTGTTAGCAAAGCATAACCAGGTATTTGAACAACATTTACAATCAAGCCTAAGAATAAAATATACAAGTAAAACAATCACTGAAGAAATTATACAAATATTGGCATCTGAAACAAGAAATTCAATTTAAAAAAAATGTAAAGCCGCAAAATTTTTTACTGTTATAGCTGACTCCACAACCGATATTAGCCATACAGATCAAATGGCCATTATGATAAGATTTGTAGAAATTAATAAAGATAAAAGGACTGTAAAAATAACTGAGCGATTTTTATGTTTTGTACCAGTGAAAAAGGGAGATGCTAATTCTTTAAAAGACCTAATAGTCAATGTTCTTTTCAAGCAGTATGAACTAAATCCAAAATACTTAGTTGGCCAAGCATATGATGGGGCTGCGGTAATGAGTTGTGTTCGTGGAGGTTTCCAAAAAAAAATTAATGATTACTTAAAAGAGAATTGTAATAATGAAAAAGCCTATGCTCCATATATTCATTGCCCTAGTCACTAAATAAATTTAGTTTTATTCTTATCTATAAAATATCAGGTAACTTACATTTAGAAAAATCAAAATCTGCCCAATGTTTTACAAGTTTAGTAAATGAAGATCAAAATTTATATGAACGTGAATTAGAAGACTCTAATAATATTTCATTACATACTGATAGTGAAAATTAAATAGAAAATGATGACCAGAAAAATTAAAATACATCAGAAATGACAAGTTTGAAAAAAATATTTCAAATAAAGTAAAACATGTTCTTCGTTTAAAAGGCTTATGTAAAACAAGGTGGTCTGCTAGAGTTAAAGCAACTGAAGCTTTACTTTCAAATTTTCAATCCTTTGTAGAATGTTTAGAAGAAGAATCTGAAAATTCAGAAAATAATTCTGAAAGTTTATTCCGAGCTAGGGGTTTAATAAAATCATTAAATTGGTTATTTTTTTTAAATTTAATGTGGTGGAATAAAATACTACAAATTATTGATGTAGTATCCCGATTATTGCAGTCAAAAAGTAATGACTTGTTTTTGGTGGTACAAAGTTTTCGATCTGTAGTAGACAAATTAAGTGATTTAAGAACTCATGATCAATTTAATAATTTTATATCAAAAATTCAAAATTGTATAACTACATAAACAAAAATTTATTTTAGATTCTAACTAACGTGTGGGTTCCTCCATCTAACTATAAATTTCCCATAAGTGAAAAAAACAAAAAACGTGGCTTGAGGTTTCAGTACAAGTGGCTTACAGAGTATAATTGGCTGTCATATTCTGAACTTAAAAATGGAGCTTTCTGCAAACATTGCGTGATTTTTGCTAAAACTGGTGGAATCAATAGGCAGCCATTAGGACAGCTTGTAATTAAAGCCTTAAATGAGTGGAAAAATGCTAAGAAGGTAGTTGTAATACGCACTTATTGCATGCTTTTTTATTTATATGCCTTGGCGGTATATTGTACACCTAATATATTTATTATTGTTTATTTTAATTTCAGATTTTTCGTACCCATTCACAAAGGAGCTATTATCAATCTTCCATTTTGGATTCTGACAATTTTTTAAATATATATTCTCATAAAGAATTGTCAATAATTGATCGACTGGATTCCGAAAGGTATACAATGACATGAGTCATGTTAATTATTTATTATTTGTCAATATATATTTATGATATTTTTTTAAAATTCTAATAGAACAAAGCAAATTAAGTCAAGTAGGAGCCGCCTTGTACCAATTATTGAATGTATAATATTGTGTGGTCGTCAAGAGCTAGCATTGCGTGGACATAATGAGTAGTAAGCAAGGTACGTTCACCCCACTTACCAAAATTTATTTTCAACATAAAATCTGTTAAATATTACAGAAATGAAAATTTACAAAAATGTAGACATATTACAATAAATATTTTAAGCATTACAGATATTTAGAGTTATTTATAGATATTACAATAATTTAGATATATTATAACAGATATTTCGAGTTATTGCAATAATTATTTTAAACATTACAGATATTACAAAAAAATTTTTTTAAATTCTGTTAAAAATATAAATTTTCCGCCAATCATAAATAAATTTTAAACAAATAACAACCAAAGTATTTTCGTGTTTTTTTTTTTATATATTATATGAAAAAGTATATTACAGCACACCATTAGCTATTCCGTTTATAGGATAGTGGTATTAATTCGTAATATCAAGTTTTCTGACGTCAAATAGAACATTCTAGAAGGTTCTTCTTCTCTAGATTACGTCATTATTGTGTAATATTGCATCATGTTTTTCGAGGTTATAAATACAAGCCACTATTGAGTTTTGACTCATTCGTGGGCATACTGTAGCCGTTTTTAGTCGTCTAAATTGTGATGACAGTGAATTGATGCTGAAAAATTTTGAACGACATTTCGACTACAGCCAATGAATCACCAACAAGAAACAACAACTATGGAGACTTCAACACATGAATACGTGGATGAAGAATGCAATAAATATATAAGTAATGTATTAAATAAATCTGATAATTATTTTATTCCGGCTAGAAGTAGAAATCCGTGGATTACTCTAGGTATAATTGAGTCAATTAAAGTTAGAAATAATCTATTAAAAAACGAATTAAAGCACAATAAAGAATTAGCTAAAGCATATAAATCAAAAATAGTACATTTAATTAAAATAGCAAGAGAAAATTACTTTAAAGAACAAATCAATGTAGTTAATAAAAATAATCCACAAAAACAATGGGAGTTGTTTATTATTTCTTAAAAATTAATAAATATAAAAATGATATAGAAATTGAGTGTAATAAATTAAATGACCATTTCGTTAATATTGGTAGCGATCTAGCTTCAAAAATTCCTTCTTCAAAAACCAAATCAAAAAATAATATTAATCCAAATTCTATCTTCTTTGAACCAATTTGTGATGAAGAAATAAAATTTAAAATTAGTTCATTAAAAAATAGGACATCACCAGGCTCAGATAATGTAGATGTTAAAAGTTTAAAAGATAATAAAGGCTCAATAGCCGCTTCAATGGCAGAATTATTTAATCTATTTATTAATACAAATTATTTTCCTCAACAATTAAAACATGCAATAATAACTCCTATATATAAAAAAAATGGATTACCAAAAGAAGATGTCAATAATTATCGTCCGATCTCTTTAATTTCAAATGTTTCTAAAATTTTTGAAAAGTGTATTTACTCAAGGATAGTTAACTTTATAGAAAAAAATAAAATGCTTTCTAAATCACAATTTGGTTTCAGAGAAGGTAAAAATACAGAAAAAGCAATCTCAAAATTAATGTCATCAATTAGAACGGAAAAAAAATATAAAATGGTAATTTTCTTTGATTTAAAAAAAGCATTTGATACAGTAGACCATAGTATATTAATAAGAAAATTAGATAATATGGGTATAAGAGGAAACACCCTAGAACTATTAAAATCATATCTTAATAATAGAACATGTTGTACAAAAATCAAATCAAACTTATCTGAAACAAAAACTATTAATTGTGGAGTACCCCAAGAGACCTCCCTAGGTCCTTTGTTGTTTAACATTTATATTAATAGTTTAGCTGAAATTAAAGTCAATGGTGAATTAGTATTATTTGCAGATGATACAGCATTGGTTGTTGAAGCTGATAACCATGCTGAATTATATCAAAAAGCTAATGAAGATTTAATTAAAATCAGAAATTGGCTTGTTGAAAATAAATTATCTCTAAATATTTCTAAAACACAATACATTGATTTTTCTGAAGCGAATTCATATAATGAATTAACTATTCATGACTTTTGTTGTACACATTTTAATAAATGTTGTTGTCCTAAATTAGAAAAGGTGTACGAATATAAATACAGTACTCCCTCGTTAACACGAACTCGGTTAACACAAATTATTGTATAACGCGAACCGGTTTTTCAGTCCAGAGAAAGGCTCTATACTATAAGATAGGGGTTTTTTTATTTCCTCGGTTTATACGAATTATTTCGGTTAACACGAAACTCGAACAAATTTTAGGTACCATATTGTCGTTTTGTTGATTAACACGAACAGAAAAATGTCAATCTGTACATATATATCTAATTTCGTTTTATTACTCGTATACTAGTCGTTAGTAATTTAATCTTTATAACACAGTTTTATCGATATCTTATCTTATCCCTACTATGTATGTACATATTCTCTATTGTAGGTATTCTCTATATGTGTACATTTGTATGTGTGCAATCTAGTTCATAGAAAACTATGAAGTTACATTCACCCAGAAACCTATGACTGACTTTTTTAAACCGACGTGAGTTTTAAATTAATTTTTTTTTGAAAAAATGTATTAAAAATATTTCTTTATATATGTAATGTAGCGTAGTACATAATTAATTAATTAAAAATATTTCAAATATTTGTTTATATGTAGTATGTACCAAAGAAATGTAAATTTTTATTTTGAAGATTACTTAATAAAAAAATGTATTTGAGTGTAAAATAACGTATTAGATTTAACCTTCTCTGATAACACGAACAAATTCGTGTTAAACCTATCGGTTTACACAAATTTTTTTAACACGAACATGTTATTTTGTGGTCCCGTCGTGTTCGTGTTAACGAGGGAGTACTGTAC